TTAGGGACCGCCGGGTACTACCGGAAGTTTGTGGCCAACTATAGCGCCCTCGCCAAACCCCTCACGGACCTGACCCGCAAGAACCTCCCTAAGTTAGTAGTCTGGGCCCCAGAGTGTGAGCAGGCGTTCCAACAGCTCAAGACGGCGCTGGTTAATTCTCCTGTACTTTCTGCTCCTGATCCAACTAAACGCTTTCTCGTCCACACAGACGCTTCTATGTTTGGATTGGGAGCAGTACTGAGCCAAGTTGGACCCGATGGCGGCGAGCACCCCGTAGCTTACCTAAGCCGAAAACTTTTACCCAGGGAAGTAAGCTACGCCGCCATTGAAAAGGAGTGCCTGGCTGTGGTGTGGGCCCTCAAGAAGTTGCAACCCTACTTATACGGGCAACCCTTCACTTTACTCACGGATCACAACCCGTTGGTGTGGCTGAACAGGGTGTCCGGAGACAATGCCAGGCTGCTGCGCTGGAGTTTGGCGCTGCAGCCTTTTGACTTTACTATCCACTACGCCCTGGGAAGCAGAATGGCAACGCCGACGGGTTGTCTAGACAAACAGACTTGGAGCCGTGATTCGTGAGTACTCCTCCGGACATCCCCAAGCCGATCCGTTGGGATCAGACTGTGTATGCCGGCTTGGTTCTGGGGGAGCATTGTGGCAAACCTAGCCACTCGGACTATAACTGGACACTATGCCTTTAAGGGTTGCCTATAGGTCTGGAGAGAGATGCGTTGTACCTGTGCTTCATGTATTCCCTGCTTTACCTGTACCTATCTGTTCCGCCGAATGCAAATGGCGGTTTGTATGGGGATTCCCGTTCGTTTCGCGAATGGCACTTTGGAGGGCCGTTCGTGAAACGAATGCGATACCCCCTAATAGCCCACACACTTAGAGGCGTGTGGCGCTAGTTAACCGATTGCAACATTGTTGCAATCGGTTATTAGAGGCTCTCCTGGGTGGCCGTCGTTCGACTACCGACCATGCGGCGGTCGGCCATCTTGGATCCCTGGTTCTTCAGCGGGTCCGTGTCGTCGAACGCATAGCATTACCAACAGTTATTCGACGGCACGAACACCGCTGAGTCTCCAGGACGTTCGGGAGTTTCAGGACCAGGTTCACTAAAAACAATCGGTTCTTTTCGTGGGTTTGGAAAGAAATGTGTTTTCTGTGCGGCGTTCGGTTATTTTAGCTGGGATCTGAGCGGCAATCTCACGAATGATGCACCCAGACCCCAGCTATCTACCGAACGTCCATTCGTGTAAATCCACCGTATATTATACCAGTTGTAGATTTTTATGTGAATTGCCGGTTCTGCTGCACGAGGGGATAATCCCCTTAACGGTGCATTCTGGGAGGATGATCCCTCTCGTGCAGCGGTGCCTGATGGGAGAAATATGTGGTACTGTAAGTCCCCCATGTAGTCCCCTCCTGTACAACCCCTGTGATGTCAGTTTGGAAACCCCTTGCATGGGGAATTGCATAAATACTGTGACCTGTGATTAAAACCTCAGTTGACTCCCAGCCTATGTATCGTCTAGTTCTTGGGAAGGAAGGGTTACTGCAGTGCTGTTTGGATTACTATATGCTGATTCCCTGGATTATCCTTTGTTGTTCCTGTTACCCAGCGGAGATATCGTGGATCATACTGCCTCTCCGCTACAGGAACACTTCCTGAAAGAAAAGAATCTTGAAAGATTAAAAACAGAGGTTCACTTATTTCTACACTTAGTTCCTTAAGTACACGTGGATTGATACCATCAGGCCCTGGAGCTTTGTTTATATTAACTTTCTTTAGTTGCTGCAGCACCTTGTCTTCAGTTAACCAATTACAATTATTCTGCAAGTTTTTAGTAACAATCATTTGCACATCTATTGCCATAGGTTCTTCCTTAATATATATGGAGGAGAAATAGTTATTTAAAATTCCTGCCTTTTCCTGGTCTTTATTAACTAACACCCCCGTTTCAGTTTTTAGTGTAACTACACTTTCATTTTTGTTTTTTTTAGCTTTGGGGTTCGTTTTGCTCTCATTTTTTCATTTTGAAGTTTAGCAAGTCTAATTGCCTTTTTACACACATTATTTGCTTCCTTATATCTTTTATAAGATGCATCCGATTTGTCCGACTTAAATGCTTTAAATGCCCTTTTCTTATTTTTATTTTTCTTATATTAAGTCATCTTGAGCTGTGCACAAGGGGTGTGAAGTGTACCCAGACAGGCCCGAGTGCCATACCAAATTTCCCACCTTCTCCCCCATTTAAATCTCTACCAGCACTTTACATCAACGTGGGTTAGCTTTCTATATATTATAGATGAAAATTGTAAAAACAGGTTACCGTGACATCAAATTGAATTGGTATTTTGTGCCTCATTTTCTAATTTTGTAAATTTTTACTTAAAGGGGTACGCTAAGCACCGAAACAATTTAAGCTGAATGAAGCCGTTTTGGTGTGTACATCATGTCCCTGCAGTTTCACGGCTGGCTTATTTCTCTGCCATTTAGGAGTTAGATCAGTTTTGTTTCTGTCTATGCAGCCCTAGCCACATTTCCCCTTGCTGTGACTCACACAGCGTAGATGGAAAAAAATGGTTTCATTTTCAATCAGATGTGAAGGTACAGTGTGCTTACTTTAAAAGTTTGTATCTCTCTGTAATTTGTCTGCTCTGTTTTTTGAACTTTAATCACACACAGAAGGATCCTTTGGGCTCTAGAAGGCTATTAAAAGAATAGGAGATAAGAGATTCTAAATTAAACAAACTGTGCAATACGGAAATTTTAAACATCAGATCTCTCTTTATAGGAAATGTGTAGGGAGACTATGTAAGTCTGTGTATATACATGTATGCAGAATAGTGCAGAATATCTTGCCTCAAATCATTTCCAATGAAAAGATTAAAAAAAATTAATGTAAAAAACATTACAAAACATGGAGCCTATACATTGGCACCACACAGATGCTTCCAAAATTTCAGATAGCTGAGCATCACAGGAGTTTAAATCCACAATAATCTGACTTGGTTTGTGTACACACAAGATTATAAACTAAAGTGAGGAGTGAAAGGAATTCAAAGGTTGTCAAGAATTTCAAAATTATGGCCAAAATAGCCAAATGAAAAAAATTATCCAAGTCAGTTATGTTTTTATTTTTGCAACTTGGACTTAAATGAATACTCCAAACATTACAACTTCAGCACGCTGTAGTGGTTATGGTCCTAGGTGCTCCCCCATTGTAAGTAGGCATGCCATTTTAGAATGGTTTGACCTCATACCTGGAGTCCAAGATGTTATGCTCTCTGAATCCACTCCATCTGGCAGCTCTCTGTCTGGGCTATGCTGGTTGGTGCAGGGAAAAGTGAAGTCATCACAGGGTGAAATAACGCATATGCACATTTATCAAACAAACTAAAAAACACTTGCCTAAAAGCAAACTGACCCAAACCTACTCCTAAGTGAAGCCTCGCCCAACTGATCATAAATTGGCCACAAACTGGGGCAGAACTGCTCAATTTAGCCTATGGTAAAATTAAGTTAACTAGATTTGCTATCATCTGATCTGAGAAACCCAAACCTGATCAGTCTCTTATTGAAAAAAAAATAAAAAGTCTATATATAGTGTTGTTAAGTTATTTTTTGTAACAAAAAATGGCTGCACCACACCATGAATGTGCATTCAGTAAAATTAGAAAAGTATTTTCATAATATAGTTACACATGAAGAGTTTATTGTTTTTAATAAATTATATCTTATAATCTTAATTATTGCGTTTCAGACCTACCTCCTGCTCCATCAATATCTCTGAATCCCGTACAATCTGTGTATATCACAGGGGAGAAAGTCACTGTCACTTGTTCTCCTCCTAACAACTCCAGTGTGAATTTATTTAAATATTACAGGGATGGAAACGAAGTACAAAGCAAAAAGATACTTGTGATATCCACAGTTACTAATGATAATGCTGGATCCTATCACTGTACATATTGGGAAGAAAAGAATGGAAGCCAAATACAATCATTAGGAAGTGATCCTGTAATAGTCCGTGTTCTAGGTGAGAATGAAAAGTACCTAACGTATTTTAAATATTTAGTACCTGCACATTATCTAATGTGAAATGGTAGGAGTTTATGAAAAGTGTTGTATGTTGCAAGGTCTGCTATACCTGTATATCTTGTCTATATGTTTGTGTTTTCCTAAATAATGACCAGTATTTTAATAAAATGTTCTCATTAAAGGAACACTATAGGGTAAACACAAACATGTATTCCTGAACTTACAGTGTTAAAAACACTATCTAGCTCCCCTGCCGTCCTAAATATTGTAAAATCTTACCTTCATTCCAGGCTGCTGCTGCTGCTGCTGCTGCTGGCTCTGCCCCTGATCTGCCTGCTTGGCTGACATTATCAGAAGTGGTTTTCTGAGCCAATTACAATGCTTATATATAGGAAAGCATTGGGTTGGCTGAGACAGTCAAGTAGGCAGATCAGGGGCAGAGCCAGCACAAGCCAAACATAGTTTTGGTCAGTCAGCATCTCCTCATAGAGGTGAAGTGAATCAATAGAGTAGAGCTGTAAAGTCTTTTTAGAAAATTATATAATGTGCACATGTGCTTTAAATACTTATTCCAGTGTGATTATTTTAAGTACTTATTTCAAGCAAAATGTTCTTACTATATAAATCGATAGATAAAGACGAAGTGAAATATATCTTTCTGTGTGCCAAAGTGTCTTTGCTTATAGATGTAAATAATTTGTAATTTTGTGAATTTTACTATGCCATATTCTTTTTAATCTCTTATTTCCAGACCGACCACCTGCTCCCTCTGTTTCTCTGAATCCCTCTCACACTGTGTACATCCAAGGGGAGAAAGTCACGGTCACCTGTTCTCCTCCTGGTCACTCAGTAAAGAGTGAGATTAAACATTACAGGAATGGAATAGAAACCCACAGTGGAAAGAATATTAAGATATTCCAAGTTACCCCTGGAGATGCTGGGAATTATTTTTGTCTATACCAGGAAAATAAGGAAGGAAGGTCTATCGAATCATTCATGAGTAATACTGTGACAATCAATGTTGTAGGTGAGGCTAATCAGCCCTAGCTGAATAAAGAATGTTGTTAGGTCCCCAAAATGTTTTTATAATTTAGGATCTTGTAAGAACAAGAATATTCAGGCACCACCACAGGGCAGTAAAAATCTGATTTGTATTATTGTTTTTTAAAATGCATAACCTTTCTTGGGATTTTCTCAGTCAACTAGTAATAGCAAAGTATATAAACTGTGTTTACCATATAATCAAGGGATGTCCAAACCACTAGGGAGCCAACTATCAGCTGCTCAAGATACAAAGCAATATTTAAAAAACGTATACTTTTGTAGTGCCAGTCAGTGCTTCTTTTAGACTGTGGAACACTAGCTACAAAAAATAAATAATTGAGCTTAAAATGTACCATCTCAGAATCTTGTTCTCTGAATTCCAGACCGACCACCTGCTCCCTCTGTTTCTCTGAGCCCCTCACACCGTGTGTACATCCGAGGGGAGAAAGTCACTGTCACCTGTTCTCCTCCCGGTCACTCACTAGAGAGTGGGATTAAACATTACAAAAATGGAATAGAAACCAACAGTGGAAAGGATGGAAAGAATATTGAGATATTCCGAGTTACCCCTGGAGATGCTGGGAATTATTCTTGTCTATACCAGGAAGATAAGGATGGAAGGACTATTGCATCATTCATGAGTGATACTGTGACAATCCATGTTGTAGGTGAGGCTGACCAGCCATAATTGAATAAACAGAGTTCTTTATTTACCAGTTAAAGCTCCAGTTTCCAGCTCTGGACCCTTTCCCCTTAAACTCACCTCAAATAATACCCTGAATTAGAAGCTGTGTATTATAGTATAATTTGTAGTATAGTGTAACACTAACTGGAGTGCAGTATGTCTCTCAATGACTGTTATACAGCCTAACGTTTATTTGGATTCTGTTGTTTTTTGTTTTATATTATTTATAATAGTAATATTTTTTAAATTATTATTATTTATATAAACAGCATCAGCGCTTAGCAGATGTTCCCCTAGAAAACCAAATGGGGAACTGAACAAAATAAATAAGTCCAATATTGGTGTAACTTTAAAAAGGATATGTCCAAGTAGTGGGTAATATGACTGAAATTATACAATGTGCTGTGTATTTAAATGATCCAATCCAGATGTAACACTGTTTCCACCTTAAATAAGAAAAGACACAATATAGTGTAACACTGTAAACCTTTTTATTTTTCCCTGAACAAACCCCTTTGTGGAACTCTTACAGAAATTGGTGTTGGAACTTATTTCGAAGACCCACATTAAAGCATTGGTTATTATTATAATATTTTATAATAGAAGCTGTTATATTTTCTTTGTCCATTTTAGAATTATCTTTTATCTTTTTTATATTTTATTTTATAAGTTTTTCAATTTAATGTATACATATTTAGTATATTGTTTTACACTACTTTAAGTCCAAATGTATTTTGTGAACAAGATATTTGGATTTTTTTACATTTTTTGGGATCTTATTATTTTTTTTAGTTTATTATTTTTTAGTCTTTATATGGTATATCTCTACTGGATCTATTTGTCTATTTTGCATTGATCTCTGATTTTGTTATGTGCATATATGATGTTTTATTATATGATTTTTTTATGTGTTATTTTAATTTGTTGTTGGTAGTTGATATAAAGAAATGTTTAATTTTAGTACATGTGAGACACGATATAGTATATTAGCCCTGTACACATATCTACTACATCATCTAAATTGTAATAATTGTAATTTTATCATACTCCCTTGCCAATATTTGGATGTTTATGCAAGCAGAATCGTCTTAATTATAATAATAATATACCCTTAAGAGGTTTGACGCTCCTGACGCAGAGGGTGTATGTATATATGTAGTTAAAATTTGTCCAGGAACTTTATCTTGAGAAATACACAAGATCCCGTGCACTGCACTCACTTATCCACTAAACAGCAACTTCAATGGTGACAGATTTTATTAGTTTTTTAAGAAACACCTAATCTAGGCAAAAATAATGGGAGTTTAGTTACATTATATTATCATACATTGCATAAGCCTGCCACAACATCAATGTACCTCATCTTTGACAGGTCCTACTCTAACAGCCTAATGTCTGTTCTTATGAGATTAACACACTTACTTGGGGGGGATCCATCTTGGGCTCTCTGCAGTACAAGGCTAAATAGGGCCTTGGGATGAGGCACCTGTGACAGGGATGGGTACAAAACCAAGGAGTTGGCTAGACTCTCAAATATTTATATATATGAAACCAGGGGGCTGCACTCTCCTGAACATGCATAAATGGGGGTGCCACTGGGAGTCAATTTATAAAATACACAAGATCAAGCGCACTCACCTATCCACTAAACAGCAACTTCAATGTTGACAGATTTACACATTTGTAGTGCTAGAGTCAGTGCTTATTTTAGACTATAGAACACCGTCTACACAAAAAAAAATGTGATCCTTTTTTTTTAAAATGTACTGACTCAGTACCTTGTTCTCTGATTTCACCGTCTACACAAAAAAAAATGTGATCCTTTTTTTTTTTAAATGTACTGACTCAGTACCTTGTTCTCTGATTTCCAGACCGACCACCTGCTCCCTCTGTTTCTCTGAATCCCTCACACCATGTGTACATCCAAGGGGAGAAGGTCACTGTCACCTGTTCTCCTCCTGGTCACTCAGAAGAGAGTGAGATTAAACTTTACAGGAATGGAATAGAAACCCACAGTGGAAAGAATATTGAGATATTCCGAGTTACCCCCGGAGATACTGGAAATTATTCTTGTGTATATCAGAAAGATAAGGATGGAAGAAATATTGAATCATTCATGAGTGATACTGTGACAATCCATGTTGTAGGTAAGGCTGATCAGCATAACTGAATAAAGGGAGTTGTTAGGTTCCCAAAATACCTGGGGCTTGTGCACTAAGCGAAACATAAAGATTTCTCAACAAACCCCTTTTTGGCTCCTTTTTACCAGTTAAAGCCCCAGGCTCCAGCTCTTGAACCCTAACATCCAGTCAAATTCGCACTTGTAGGGTGTATAGCAGTGATGGCACACCTATGGCACGCGTGCCACAGGTGGCACGCCGGGTCCTTTCTGTGGGCATGTGGCCATAGGTTCACCATCAATGCAGAGTAGGCACCTGCCTGCCAAAAACGTCAGGCACCTACTCTGCTTCCGTGTCGGGAGGCAGGGGAAGGGATCTGTGAAGCAACTCCCCTGTCCTCCCGCGAGCAAGATGTGGACAGGGGAGCTGCTTCACAGATCTCTCCTTCTGCCCCCCAACACGGAAGCAGTGCTTGCCACTACCGGACCACCAGGGATGGCTGTGTCCCCCCCTCCTTCATTAAAGGAAAGAAGGAGGGAGGGGGGGATACTGATTTAGCATACTTTTTTTTTGTAAACACCTTTACCCCAGCCCCACACACACAGCACCCCTACCCCCCCACACACAGTACCCCTACCCCTCACACACAGCACCCCTCACACACACACACAGCACCCCTCACATACACACACAGCACCCCTCACATAGACACACACAGCACCCCTCACATACACACACACAGCACCCCTCACACACAGACACAGCACCCCTCACACACAGACACAGCACCCCTCACGCACACACAGCAGCCCTCACGCACACACAGCAGCCCTCATGCACACACAGAGCACCCCTCATACACACACACAGCACCCCTCACACACAGACACAGCAACCATCACACACACACACACACAAACACAGCAACACTCAGACACACATAGCACCCCTCACACACAGCACCCCTCACACAAACACATACACTACACCCCTCAATGCAGTATGTGTGTATTCAGGAGTCTGTGTGTGTGCGTATTCAGCAGTCTGTGTGTATGTGTACTCAGCAGTGTGTGTATTCAGCGGACTGTGTGTATGTATTCAGCAGTCTGTGTATGTATTCAGCAGTCTGTGTGTGTGGGCTCAGCAGTCTGTGTGTGTACTCAGCAGTCTGTATGTGTATTCAGCAGACTGTGTGTGTGTGTGTGTGTATTCATCAGTCTCTGTATTCAGCAGTCTTGTGTGTGTGTATTCAGCGGACTCTGTGTATGTATTCAGCAGTCTGTGTGTGTATGTATTGCATTTGTTGGAGATACTAATAAATATAAGCTTAATTTTATCTATTTATATCATTATTTAACATTTGTATAATTGAACTCTCTGTTGTTGTGTTCTTTTAAAACAAAAGTTGTTAATTAGTTCGGACAACAGTACGAGTTGTTTTTTCTAAACTTAAACCTCAGTATTGAGGTTTAATTGCCGTGTTGGCACTTTAAGGAAAAAAAAGTTGGCATGTATTGTGGTTTGGGCACTTGGGCTCAAAAAGGTTTGCCATCACTGGTGTATAGTATAGTAGAACACCATCGGAGTGCAGTTTCTCAGTCCCTGCTATACATCCTATATTTATATTACTTTTATATCACTATATTAATATTACTTTTATAATATGTGTATATATATATATATACATATATATATATATATATATAAATACACACACACACATTTTAATAATTTTAATTATTATTTTTGTTTTAAAATGGGTAATTATTGAGTTTGCATGTCTAGAGTATTGATGTTATATTATATTCCTATAAGGGAGATTTCTATATAGATTAAAGATAAAGTTAGTGATGGTAACCAAAAAATGTACAGCCTGCAAACAGAGTATAGGGTGCAAATGGTATTAAGGAACACCCCATCTAGTTGTGCATAAACAATCATATGATTAAAAAAATACCCGCACAACAAAATTCAGTAAAAAGTAAAATTTTATTAAATACAATCAAAATGATAAATACAAATTCATCTATATATGCCCATAATACTGGCACTTATACCAAGCTGGATCTGCTAGATATGCAGAGATAAATCAATGTATGAAATACAAGAATCTTAATTCGAAATATACAGAAATACAAATCATGAAAATACTAAATTGCTGTACAAAATTACCTGACAAGTGGACAGAAATAGAAACCTAATATTTCGGCTATGAAGCCTTGATTGTATTTAATAAAATTTGGCTTTTTATTGAATTTGGTTGTGCGGGTATTGTTTTAATCATAGGTTTCTACATAGAGTCAGGACTGTGAATTATACCACATAAGAATGTCTTATTTCCAAATTGACCATCTACTCCATCTATCTCTCTGAATCCATCACACCATGTTTATATCAGAGAGGAGGAAGTTACAGTTATTTGTTCTCAACCTGGTGGCTCAGCAATTAAATATTATCGGAATAGAAAAATAATCCACAGTGGAAAGATGACTACAATATCCTCAGTTAGCGAAAAGGATGATGGAAACTATTCCTGTCTAAACTCAAAAGAAATGTATGGAAGGACTATTGAATCCTTAATGTGATAATCCATGTTATAGATGAGACTGATCAGTCCTATCTCTTTAAGTAGGCTCTTTAGAGATCATATAGTGTATGTTGAGGTTAGATGAGTTTTTAATTATTACAGTTATTGTATTGTAATAGCAGAACAGAAAACAAAGTTATATAGCCTTTTGCCATTCATTGCTATTCAGAAAGACATCTTACTACTGGGT